AAGAACGTACGTACCTGGACCCGCCTACTATCCTCGGAAACGTAAAATGATTGGCTAGAATCTAAAGTGTATCACAGCTCAGGAAAAAAAAAAGCACCGAAATGTGCGCTGCCCTTCGGTCTGGTTACTACGTTTATGACAGAACCGGAGCCATCATGGCACCGGATACCGGTACCCATCCCTAAGGACGAGTCGTTACTTTTGCAGTTGCACTGGCAGTATTGATCGTAGTACAGTTATTAATAATTAAAGTTACTAAAATACTGAGTGTGATTTGTGTGTTTCAGTGGAGGATGGAGAAGTGTTTGACTTCAGAGGCATGAGACTGGATTGGTTCAGACTGCAGGTATATACACAACTTTCGTGCTTAAATTCTTTTGAAATAAGTCTTTCAAGGATAACATAGTTTCCTTGAAAACTAAAACATAATAAAATATTTAATGTGATATTAACGATGCTGTTCAGAAAGTCTGGGTAGTGCAATATGTAACAATAAAGAACTTGGATTTGTCTTTTATGCCCTGCTTGTGCTGTTATTCCTCTCTAGGCCTACACAAGCGTCTCTAAAGCCAGTCTCGGTTTAGCCGATCACAAAGAGCTCGGTAAAATGATGAACACCATCATCTTCCACACAAAGATGGTGGACTCTCTGGTGGAGATGCTTGTGGAGACATCAGACCTGTCTATTTTCTGGTGAGACACTCACGTGAAACTCTGGTAAGTCCTGTGCGTAATTCAGACATAAGTTTAAATATGTATATTTTCCTTTTTTCTCTGTTCTTGTGTGTAGCTTCTACAGCCGTGCATTTGAGAAGATGTTTCAGCAGTGCTTGGAGCTTCCCTCCCAGAGCCGCCACTCAGTCTGTTTCCCTCTGCTTTGTACACACTTTATGTCCTGTACACATGAGCTCTGTCCCGAGGAGGTAAATACACACATGCATACAAAAACCCAGTTTGTGTGATATTCTTTTTAATTTTACATAATGGGGCCTGTAGATGGGGAGATGAGGACGTTTGAAAGTTTCCCAAGAATAGATATCTGTGGGTTGAACGGAAGGTACAGAGGAAGGGGGATAGATGGGGAGATGTAATGAAGGGAAATGCACAGAGGTCAGTAAATCAACCGAGACACATTTTCTTCTTTTTAAACGTAATCGAGGACGTAATCAGCACGTAATCAGCACGTGTTGCTGCACTTCAAATAGGATCTCCTAATGGCCAATTCTGTGTATGTTTGATGGGATCAGTTGGTCAAAATGTCAGCAGCAAATGTTACAAAAATGTGCCCATTTGGTCAACTTTAAGTGAATTTTCCAAATATAAAAATGTGTTTTTGACTTCCCAGTTTTAATCCAATTTCACACTCAGATGATTTAAATGTTTAAAAATTAAAGGAAAAACGTAGAAGAAGAAGAAACTTTTCATGTGGAAAAACTCACATTACAGTTCAAGGATGTTCAGAGTGTGGCTTTAATCAATGCTGGTTGGAAGTGAAAAGCAAAAATTGACTCAGTATAGGCATAAACTGAAGGACACTGATAAACACACTTGTTATTGGAACCAGCAGACAGTTGGGCTTTCTTTTTTTATACCCATCTAAAATGTATCTAAACAGGCACCCCGCAGTAACTGTTTTGGTCTTTTTGGAACAGATTCTACAAAACTCAATACAATTTTTATCATTGACTGACAGCCGCTTCCCCCTCTGAGCCTGGGCATCAGGCGTGATATGTGTGATGATTATGCTGTTTTGATAATGATTTCACTTTGAGTCTTTTTGTCTCTTCCTACTCTCCTCCTCAGCGTCACCACATAGGGGATCGAAGCCTGTCGTTGTGCAACATGTTTTTGGACGAAATGGCCAAACAGGCCAGAAACCTGATCACGGACATCTGCACCGAGCAGTGTACGCTCAGTGACCAGGTAGGAACACAAACCCTACTGTTTACAGGGACAGTTTGACATTTCTAGCTTGAATAAAAATGCTACAAATTACTGATCAGACTGACAGTGATACAGGTTAACAACCTGCGTCAGCCAACCCCTCCAACACCCTCTGTTTGAACGCTGGTTAGACGCTGACAGACTTTATTGAGAATAAAATCAATCAAAAGATAAACTGACCAGTTCATCTGGTTTAATCTATACTTAAACTACTGTCAGGGTTTCCACTGGGAACAAAACAGCAGGGCTACAGTTGTGCAGACTTCCACACAAGAGGAGAAATACATCTGGGAGTTTATTTGCTTCTTTTAGTGTGAAAAAAATACTTTATTTCAAGTAGAGCTGGGCGATATAAGATTTTTTTCATATCACGATATGTTTTTTCATTTCAGGCGATAACAATATATATCACGATATAAGCCAAATAACTATATTTGTAAGATTTAAATGTGCCGTTGCTCACAAGTAAAAT